AAAGAAAGAAAGAAAGAAAGAAAGAAAGAAAGAAAGAAAGAAAGAAAGAAAGAAAGAAAGAAAGAAAGAAATTGTGGGCAAGGTCAGAACTATTCCTATTTCTAAACAGCAAACCTGCATCAGGGAAAGTGTCAATAAGCACAAGTCAACCAAACAGATTTCACTCCCCTCCAGTATCTTCTGTGCGCTCGTGTTCGGGAACGTCTAAAATTTAGGCTCTTAAATGGTTTCAAGAAGAGGCCTTTCCTCAATTTAACGTCCCGTGATGGGCTGGACTCCCACTCCCATAATCCATGCGTAACTCCGCTGGGCCCTCATTACAATTCCTGAACGACGGGAGCGGCGGGGTCTACAGAAAGGACGGACCGGCTTCAATCGGCGGCCTGATCCCAGGCGAAAGACGGGTGGCGCTCACCTCGAAAGTGCTGTAGTCCGGCGTAGGCAGGTAGCTCAGATAGTTCTTGGTGGGTCTATAGCGCCGCGTCTCCTCCTCCACCAGCGCCGCGGCCTAAGAGAAAAGCGGACAGCGACTCGCTTAGCTCCTCCGACAGGCGCAACGGATCCCCAGCCCGCCTCTCGCCTTTCCCGAAACGCCACTCTTACCGCTTCCCGGACGCCCGGCGCTTCGTAGCCTTGGTCGAAGTAGGGCAGCGCATCGACAGCCACTTCGCCCGCCACTAAGCCCGGGCCGGCCATACCGGACCTCGCGCAAGCCCTTTCCGCTTCTCAGTTGCCCCGCGACAAAGCTCCACCTAGGCCTCTCCTCCTCTTACAGCGCCTGCGCGGATGTAACACTTCAGCCACCTAAATTTTACTCTCAGCATGGCTGGCTGAAGAATTCTGGGAGTTGAAGTCTTAGAGTTACCAAGACGCTAAAAATCCTCCGGCCAATCGGTACCTTCGCATCGCTACGGATAGCACGGAGCTGCTCGATCGCCCCTCCCTACCTCATGCTGTTCAGATGATTGGATTTCAGGTCCTGCAGTTGCGCACTACTGTAGTTTGGCAAAAGTGTATTCGGGGAGCTACTGTACAACGCGTCTGAAAAACATAACACTGAGTAAGGAACTTGAAGAAGCACGTATCTTACTTTGCACACTTCCAGGATGGGCCATAGATCCTGGATTCGTCCCAAATGTAGACGAAATGTACATTACGTACTCTATTGCCAAAAAAAGAAGACATTCCTTAATGAGCTAATGTCAAAATTATCGTGTCCCTTGTCATTTATAGCAATGTTTTTCAAACTTGGCAACTTTAAGATATGTGGACCAACTCCCAGGATTCATCAGCCAGCTTGAAAAAGAAAACGGAAAAGGTGGGGGAGCAAGGGTATTAGGAATTAAATTGGCTTAACATGTTTTGCATTCAATTTATGGCTTGCCCTGTATTTAAATAAGAATGTTTTGATCTATGTCTTAAGCCATTAAAGTGCCAAAAGCCTCCGAGCTGCCCCCCTGGTTGTTGTTTTACAAATCAAAAGGCTGCCTCCTATGTAGAAACTTGCCATCATAGTATTATTCTATGTACGTACTGTAATTACTACTGTAGAATAATATAAACAATGTTACTATTAATGTAAAATAATACTATGGTGCTAAGTAACACTATGGTAGGAACCCCTGTATGATCTTGCCTTTTCAATATTGAGAATGTAAAATATTAATTTTACAATAGCCTGAATTATCCCTCCCCAATCTTATTGCACTGCCTCATCATATGAAGGAAATGTTCCTCACAGAAATGAGTAATATAGAAAGAAAGTCAGGGGTATATGCCAAGAGTATGTGTCTCAGCATGGTCACCCAAGATATGAAGGTGCCTATCTAAAGCAAGCGGGTACCTATATGGAACAGCAGCGGTATAGGAAAATGCTGGAGGCAGATGATCATTTTAGTGACAACAGCAAAGTCAGCAATACCTACTGTGCAGGAGAAGGCAATGGTAAACTATTCATGTATTTTTTTAATCAAGAAAACCACATGGATAGAAAATAAAATGATTGTGCCAGATGATGGTCCCTTCAGGTCAGATGGCACTCAGCATGCCTCTAAGGAAAAGCTGAGGAATAAGAAAAAAGAGCATGTTTCATTCATTATATTTATTTGTATTCCATCTTTATTATTTTTATAAATAACTTAAGAAGGTAAACATACCTAATACTCCTTCCTTCTATTTTACCCACAATAACAAGGTATTTGAGTTGATCATATCAAGTTGTGGAATGCACTTAGAAAAATGGGAATCCCAGAATATCACACTGTTCTTTTGTAAAACTACATGCAGATCAGGAAGCCATAGTATGGACAGAACACAGTGAAGCAGATTGATTCCAGGTTGGCAAGGAAGTGAGATAAGGTTGTACAGGGCGGGGCATAACCTTTTCCTAGGGGGTCACAGCAACACTTGTAATAACAACACAAATACCTTG